TCCCATGGCCGTAGGCTGGTGATCTCCTTGCGTCCTAATCAATATATCATGCACCCGTTATTTGTTATCAGGTAATTTTTTGTTGCGAAATGGCCTGATTGGCGATGGGCGACGCATGGTGCCCATTGCAGGGGCTGCTTCTTGGGCGAGAAGGCCCTTCCTCCCTCGTTTTGTTGCAATTCATTTTGCCCTTCTCAGTTTCGGACGTTTCGAGTCGGTTTGCCGTTCATTTCGAGCTTGTTTCTGAACCGCTTACGCAAAGGAAGATCCGCTACCAGTCTGGTGATTATTGCCGTAGGCGATTCCCGTTGGAGGAGAGGGGGGGGGGCGAAAGGTCTTTCGCCCCCTTCCTTCCCTCCTCCCCCTCCCCCCAGCGGCGGCACAAGCAACAGTACTGCAATAGCCCCGGTCTGTTCATAAATAAAACTGAAGTAAATCTCAGTAGCGGTGTTACAGCTCTATTCCTAATTTTTGCATAGTTCCAGGGGCGGGGGAGAGGGTTCTTCCACCCTCCATCGCCCCGCCTAAGAATTTCACTCGTGACTACCTCCCTCCCCCCTGCTCCCTTTCTTCCTAGGAGCCGCACTCTCCCCCACCCCCTCCCCGGCTAATTTCCCCAACAGCCCTCCTTGGATACGCCTATGATTATTGCTGGTGTTATGCATCGCCTGAATCACTTCCGAATGTGTCCGCCTCTCAAGGATCTGCGGGGAACGAGGGAAAGGGGAGGTGAAGGGAAAGAGGGAGCGGGGGGGAGGGGGATCGGTTTTTCGACTTTGCACTTCTCACTCGATTTGGCCTTTCTTTTGCGTCGAGCTTCAACTAAGACGTATTTTTTTTTGCGTGTTTTGGACTGTTGCCGCTAACACAGGGTATAATTTCAGGAATTTTTCTCGGTGCTGACACTCGAAGACATCGCACTTTCACTGAAACGATGTTCGGGAAATCGCCGTTTGGCGCCTCCAATACGTCTGCTTTTGGAAGTAACCTTTTTGCATATTTTTTGTCCCGTTGTTGTAAGAAATGCCTTAATAGGCCATGGCTTTTTAAACA